TGTCGGGCACTTCGATTCCGGTCTTCATGCCTTCAGTTATCAACCAGTGCCTCTTCAGTCTATCTGTGCCGCCTTTTCGAGGGCGCCTGAGTGGTCATTTTCTTCTTTGCGGGTACCGCTTACTACTGCACAACGTCCACAGTTGTCGGCAAGACGAACAGCGTGCCTTTGCTTATAGGTTTTGTTTTCTCTCGGTGCAGCTGTGATATTTGCATTGGTCTTTCCGGTCCGGCATTTTGATTCAAATGATTGAAGAAAATAGGAAATATTTGTAGTCAAATCAACCTCTGAATTAAAGCACACCTAGCTATTTTCTATAACTGGTGAAAACTGTGCTCAATGAGTCAGCATTTGATATTCGTCAAAAACAGGAGAGGAGTCCTTAATTGTAAAAATCATGAAGCACCTTTAAATTTCAGTCCAGTCATACATCTAGCAATGGAATGACAGTAGCACTGATATCGCCTCAGAGGATCTGCTTGACTCAATCGACACTTGGCTCTCTTCTTGCAATATTAGCATTCTTGCTCATCACATTGCTAATTACGGTATTCACAGTGTACAGGAGAGGCAGCAGGTATGCACTTTGGAGCCCTAGGCAAAAAAGCTTTAACTTTTCTAAAGTTTCTTGAAGAAAAATGCGCAAAAGAAAGTTTCTTAACACTGAAACTTCAGAAATGAGAAAGGACTGAACAAATTTGCAAAATTTACTTTATTCTAACTCCGTCTTTCTAATTATTTTAGAATCGATAGCCGAAGAGAGAATCGAGTTTTTTTTTTTTTTTTTTTTCAGGAAATTGTTTGAAGAATGAACGATTCATCTCCGCACTTCACTAATAACGAGCTTTTTTAAATGTCTGTTCATATTGTTCGCTTTACCAGTTGTTACTTATAATAATAACAGTAATAATAAACAGTTATATTTCGTGAATAGAAAGGCACACTAGCGAGCGAAATGATCCTTGTTTTGTCTCTAGTTGTGACACATACTGGCCAAAGCAAGTGTTTGGCTAATACCTGAACGATTCGAAGTCCTCACGTTCCAGCTAAATTTTGGCAGCAGTTATATCGACGTTCTAGATGACTTTCGTTTTCGATGCGTTATTTTTCAAGAGAAACTTTTGCATCCATATTACTTTCATTTTGTGAGCACTGATCGCAGTACAAGTTATCTTTCCTGCGAAGCGTGAATGGTTTAACTGTTCAAAACATCCTTCCGAGCCAACTTGGTAATCATCGTCTTGGGCAAACTAGAAGCCTTGGAAATAAGTAATCGCCCTATATCATACCTTTTCTTTGCGTATCGGAAAGTTACGAAAAGCGTCTTATCAGTAGTTTGGATTTGCTTCCTTGATCAATCCTTCGGTAATTCCTTTAAGATAAAGTGGAGCGATGTCATAGATGCCCAGTGAAATAACATTTTCATCAAAACACGCTAATACTGTGACTGGAAATTTTCTGGTTGCTGCTGATATCATTCTTACCTTATCTAATTAACTACATTTTCATTAACATAAAAGTATTCGCCTGCTCTAAAACTTGCAAGCGAGAAATACTGAAGAGTATTTCCACGAAGTACCTAGCGAGCGAAGCCTGCTCCAAAAGCTTCGAAAGCCTTCATCACGCAGAATAAAATAGCGAAGTTTTTGAGTTTTTCATTTCCACTAAGGTAATTTCGTTATTTAGCCCAAAAAAGGAGGCTCGTATCATAATTTTCCAAATTTTTCAAAGATGCCACTTGAAAAAAATCATGAACAATTTACTACATGAAGTGGTGAAGCAAAAGTTCCTGCAAAATTCATCGCCTAAAAAAACTCGGCGACATTTTTGAAATTTTCATCTGCGGTGAATCAGGTTTATGATTCAACTCAAGAAAAGAGAGCTAGCTTCATAATTTTTCAAGTTTTTCGAAGAAGCCACTTATAAAAATCCCGAACAAATTATCGTGTGGGATGATGAGGCAATAATGGCGTAGCCGATCCCAGAAACAAAGCGTTGTAAACCTGTTTAACTGATTTGTGTATTTTTAAGACAGCGAGCAGACGGAAGGCTTTTTAGGACTACAAAGTTATGGTTTAATTAGACGAAATAAGTAGAAAAATTTATTGACAGGAGTGGATTTCATTGTTTCTTTGGTTTGCCTCGTCCGGGAATTCTCGAACATCCGCTGCTCCATTCCCAGCAATGCTTCACGGGCGCCGCACCAAGCATTTGGACCCTGAAAATTCCACACGAAAAAATATATGAATACCGAAAGATTTTCCAGATTATTCAAGTTTTGTTTTGTGAGCGTAACAAATAGCAGCCGTGTAGGTTATCCCCCTCGCTGTTTTCGTTCAAAGAGTTAAATTTCTGGCAAGAATGCAGAATTTGCAAAAATAAAAAAATTTTTCCTGTAATACATAACTTCTGCTGATGGTTTTGGTCGATAGGGAAGCAAATGTTTTTTGTCGAATAGTAGTTCAACTTCGCCGATGAGACAATCAGTCTCTCTACGATTTGTTTATTCATTTCGATAGCAAAATGGTGTTAGCATATCCAGAGAAACAAACCGGTCATCAACATGCTTGTAAGCAATTCTCGAAAGAGGAAGCCATTGACCAACTTGCGAGCGGGATTGGTCTTGGCATTTGTTGACATTTGGGCTATTTTCCCTCCACCTTTTGTAGAGAGCATGAACAAAAAGAGTTTTGTCTTTTTAACTTGATATAACTTTTAACATTAATCTTTCATGCACCACTTCCTCAGTACCGTTCCCTCGAAGAATTCAGGTTCCTTGAAAAGATAAAATGCTGTAATTGTTGCACTATGATGAAAAAGTACACTATTTCACTAGCAAAAGATGCTCGTTTTCTGGAGTACCCTAAACATCACTTGTGCATGCGTGCTTTCCCGTTTTTCG